TTATGAACTGATTGGGATATTAACAAAATATAATGATATATTATTTTTCTCTAATATACCTTCTTACGCAAGTGTTCTTTAAATTTGAAGCGTAAATATTGTATATGTTTATTTTTTTTTGTTATAACTTGTGTTTACTTAATTCACTAGAAGTTATGGATAGTGAGAATTAAATTTGTGAACACAAAGGTTCGGATATCATTTCATGTAAAAATTCAAACTTTTAAGTGAAACTCAAAAAATTTATATTATATATCTCTAAGACATTATAAAATAAGGCTACAATTCTAAATAAGGGTTACTTTTTCGTCAATACAAGGAAACAAATAATTCTATAAGTCAATTGCATATCACTGAATGTTTTGAATACTGCACCTCCCAATTTCAGAAAGACTAATGTGGTGCCTTAATTCTTTTGAAAGTGACTACACTTTGTGGCACAATGGCTTAACCTAATGAGGCTACTCTCTATAATGTCCTATACAATGCACTACTAAGAAAGGTCTTCTGTCTTGGTTCTAAGGTTGCATATGACAAGAACCTTAGAATCATTAATTAAGCTGACTCTAAGAGTGTCCTCCGCTTGCTTAATTGAGACTGATTGAGTCTAAACACCCTTGTTCAGTTTAAAAACTAAGTTCATTTATATCGATTCTTTAAAATGCAGAGAGTAATAATTAATAATAATAATAATATTCGGGCAAAATTATCAAGCAACATCAGCATGACTATCAATGTCAATTACAATCAGTCATATTTCACGGGACACGAGTATACTCTCGCGTGAATGATTAAAACAGAGAGAGCACTTGATTCAAAATGGAATTGTCAATTGTGATAGAAACACACACTTATTAAATGACGTCTATATCATATTCAATTTGGTATACAATTAGTCATTTCACATGTAAATAATTTAGGTTCCTTCCTTTCTCCAAATGGCTACATTCATAACTTAGATTACGACATCGGATAGGAGGATATTTTCAGAATATTACCAAATTCATGTTTCGGCAATTTATTTCTTTTTCTTTTTGAAAATTTATTATGTGTTTTCTTTTAATATAAATATAGTTATTCTTGATCCAATTAAGGGGATATATTAGGCGATGTGTTGTAATCTGATGCCATGTATATAATTTAAAAATAAACGTATACAAAACTATGCACGATTGTAAATGCAAAATGTTGTTACCAAAAAGAAAAAAAAATTGCAAAATGAGAAATACAGTCACATCAATGTATTTGATTTTGTGTTTGCATGATTCATGTGTCATTTTACTTGTCATATGGTTCTAAGGCTATTCATGTGTCATTATCAATCCCAATACATTATTAACAAATGTCTATAGTAGAATAACCACACAAAAAATGTCTATAGTAGAATTATTAATGTAATGTTTGGTAGAGAATGATAATTTCGAGGAAAAATAAGGAATTCAGAATAAAATTGATTGGGTTGGAATCGAACGATTATTTTCCATCCACAAAATGGAATCAAATTTAATCCATATGACTTTTTTTTTGTTGGTAAACAATCCATATTACTTTAATATCCCTTGAGAAAAGATAAAATAAAATAAAATAAATTTTCTCACTTAAAATTTTGAATTTAATTTCATGTATAATTTGATAATAAAAAATCTTAAAAAAAAGAAAATATTATTTTATTTGTTAAAAATGAAATGCATACAATGCTTTAGCAAGCTATTTTATACGTTTTTACGATATTTTATTTGTTCTATTTTAAAACTTTCATTTTTTTTTTCTTTTTCATTTCTCTTGTTTAAATATTACTTGACTTTTCATATTTTCCAACCGTTTTTTTAAGTTTTACTTGTTTTTTTTCTAAATTTTGTCAACAAATAACAATCTACGTGATTTGATTTTTAATAAGTTGAAAAATACATACTTTATTACATATTAAATTTTAAATAGAAAAATAAAAATATGTATTAGTAAAATATTATTTAAGTATTGCTCTCTTGTTAAGATTTTGTTATTTTTTAATCTCATTCGTTAAAGTTTCAATGAAAAGAATATTTGGATGATATATTTCCATTTTTTTTGGTAAACAGATGATATATTTAATTTAATTTAATGTATGTTTTATTGATGACATATTTATATTAATAATAGGGAAAAAGATGTGTCCTTTTATGTGTTTACATTATGTCTTACGATAAGATATAGTGTTAATACGAAAAATTATTTTTTTTCTCTTCTCAGTCACATTAGCTGACGTGTAAAGTGAAAAAAGTAATTTTTTCTAATATAATTATGTTTTATTGATAAGATATAGTGTAATACACTAAAAAGACACAAGGTTGTGTCCTTTAAAAAGATATCCATTAAGTAGAGATCTTGCTAAATAAAAAAAAAAGATTTTTCTCTTATTTTTAAGTTCTTGATTTAAGTTGAATTATTTTATTAAAGGAAATAATAAAATTTCTAAGTAAACAACTACAAAGCAGTAGAAAGTTTTTGTTAGAAGTTAATGAAATAATTGTGTAGGTGTTTGCATTTGTCAATCCAGCAAAATTTAAAAGCTATTATTCATATGATATTGCTTAGAAAGGTAAACAAGATAAATAAATGATGACATTAAGTCATATTAATTTTGAATGAATTACAAACCATATTATATTTAGAATAAATGTTTTATTTATGGGTTTAATCTTTCTTATGTTGTATGAGATAAGATTATCTTCTACACAAATAAAGTGTATGAAGCACATGTGAAGAGAAGAGAAAGAAATAGAATACATGAATCACACACACTTTTATATGTATATAGGGATAAAATTATCGCTTGCAATATGAGAAATATTAAACCATTTATTTATATATAAAATTTACTAGATATATGTCTAATAACATTACTAATTGTTGATTATCAAATTAATTATAAAATAATTTTGAGTAAAAAGTAACTAATAAGCTATTAACTATAACATTATATGAAAGTAATTTTCTTTAAAATTTAATAAAATTTTCAAAACATAATTAAATTAATCAAAAATATTTTTAAAATAGGAAAATAAATACTCAAATTTGTATCAATTTTTTTGTTGGGATGTGTACCTCCTTTAACGCTTGGTGGCTAGGCATGCACTTCATTTATGGTGCATGGCTCAATGTTTGAACACAACCACCTCAATAAATTCTGCCCTCATCATTATTGAAGAAGACTCTAGAAGAAGTTGTAGTGTTTCTCTTCACCTATATATATATATATATATATATATATATATATATATATATATATGGTAAAATCATTTCTGCAGTCGCTTTACGTACAACAACGACAGGTGTGTGGTTATGATTCCTCACATTTAATGCTTTCATTCTTTGTATGGTTATGATTTCCCGCATTTAATACTTTCAAGTATATATATGGCAAGTATTTGATTGTTGCACTTACAACAACTACATAAATGTAAACCCCTATATATATATATATAAGCAAACGAAACCATTTGTGTAAGAAGTTTTTGAGACACTGTATGTGATTCGTCTGAAGAGAAGTTTGAGTGTAAGACCTCTTTAGAGAAGGTCTTTGTAACCATCATTATTGGTGAAGCTTGAGTATACCTTTTGTGTGACTAACGAAGTTTGAATATTTGTAATCCTACTATTTCATAGTGGAAATTTTTTCGGACTAGTTTCCCGTAGTTTTTACCTCTCTGCCTTAGGGAATATTTTCCATGTTAAAATTTATTGTGTCTTCTCACCATTTCTCGTCTTTTACATTTCCTATTTCTACTAAATTTTAGACCGAATGGTGACTAAAACATAGTAGAATCAGGGGGAGATTGGCATTGATAAACCATTTGATTTTTCTCCTAGGCTGATTCCATGTGAAACGACAAGTATAGTACAATCAATAGATGCAGTACCTCCCGTAGATCCCAGACCAATTCCATGTGAAACAACAAGTACAATACCACCGACAGATGTAGTACCACCTTTTGATGTTCCTGAAGCAGAGACCTTCACCTCCATTCCACCAGTAATACTGGATCAGACTATTGAGACCTCCACCTCTAGTCCAGTAATGCCGGATTAGACTTTGCGACGATCCATTAAAACAATCAAGCCACCAACCAAATTAAAAGACTATGCCTTTATGGCTATCTCTTACCCTAGTCAAGACTATGTATGCCTTGATCATGTCTCTAGTGGACATCGAACCTTCCTAACCGCCATTGACAAACATCATGAACTTGCTAACTTTGAAGAAGCAAAGTCAATTTCAGAATGGAAAACTGTTATGGACGATGAACTTGTTGTTCATGATAAAAATTGCACTTGGGAAATTGTATCTCTTTCTCAAGGAAATAACACTGTTGGTTGCAAGTGAATTTATAAAATCAAACATCAAGGTGATGGGTCTATTGAGCGTCATAAAGCCCTCCTTTTTGCTAAAGGATATAATGAGACCTATGGTGTAGATTACATAGAAACCTTTGCACCAGTAGCAAAAATGAAAAAAGTAAAGGTTCTTATATCAGTTGTTATCAATCATGGATGGTCTCTCTTCCAAATGAATGTTAAAAATGTATTTCTACATGGAGACATTGAAAAGGAAGTCTACATAGATTTGCCTCCAGGTCACCCTCTTGAGTCTCAACCTGGTAAAGTGTGCAAAATAAAGCATGCTATCTATGGTCTAAAGCAGTCTCCCCGTGCCTGCTATGAAAATTTGAGCAAGGCACTCACTGCCTTTGGGTTCATCAAAAGCAAGTCAGACTACACTTTATTTGTCAGAAATTGGAATGGAAATACCATTGTGGTCCTTATCTATTTAGATGATATAGTCATTTTAGGGAACAATGTGATTGAGATAGATAAATTGAAGAAGTGTCTCAATATGACCTTTGATATCAAGGACTTGGGTGCCTGAAGTACTTCCTGCGAATTGAAATTGTCGAATCTAATAAATGGTTGTTCATCTCACAAAAGAAATATGTATTGGATCTTTTGAAGGTGACTGGAAAATGGCATCCAAACTAATTGATACCTCTATGGAATACAATTGCAAGTTTGAGAAAGACTCTATTCCTCTATCTGACCCAAGACAATTTCAGAGACTTATTGGCAAGTTAATCTACCTCACAATTACCAGATCGAATATCTCCTATTTGGTAAGCTACATTTGCCAATTCTTACATAAACCAACACAAGATCACATGAATCTAGTGGATCAGATTCTTAGATATTTGAAGTCTTGTCCAGGAAAAGACACCTGGTTGAAAAGAAATGGCCACACTGACATTGTTGAATATGCTGATGTTGATTGGGCAGGTAGTCCACATACAGACAATCCACCTCTGGCTTCTGTACCTTTGTTGGAGGCAACCTTAGGACTTGGAAAGTAAAAAACAAAGTGTAGTAACGCGTTCTAGTGCAGAAGTCGAATATCGTGCTATGGCATCTGCCACCAGTGAGCTTATTTGGCTTAAAGACATCTTCTTTTACCTTAGCTTGGAGCAAATGAAGAATCCTACCAAGTTGTATTGTGACAACCTAGTAGCTATTCATATCGCATCTAATCCAGTGTTTCCGAGAGGACCAAACATATTGAAGTAGATTGCAATTTTGTTTGGGAAAAGGTTCAAGCAAAGATAATTGAGACACCGTATATCCGAAGTGAAGACCAATTAGCAGATTTGTTGACTAAGGCCCTTCATAAGAACTCTTTTCAGAATATCATTGCCAAGTTGGACTTGATTGGCATCTTCGCCTCAACTTGGAGGAGAAGTGTTGGAGATATTAGTGGAAATAAATTAGGAAAATTAATTGATTGTAATTCTGTATCAAATATTGTTCATAAAAGGAGCAAAGAATCACCTGATGTTATTGATTGTGGGCAAAATAATCTGCCCCAATTATTGTATCATCTCCTATTTATATTAAAGGGAACCTCCTCCTGGATCGTCACTGAGAAGGGGAGTAACATCATTAGTGTGGACGTAGGCCAAATGGCTGAATCACGATAAATTTATTTGTTTTTTTTATTTTTACACTTTGCTTAGTTAAATGAAGAAGATTATATTTACTATTATTCTAGTTTTACTACTCTTATTATCTATTTAGTTACGGTTGGATTAATTTGAAATCAACGCAAGCAATTTTTTTCTTTTTTCAAACATTGATTTCAAGTTAATCAAATGATAATCAAACAAGTAATAAGAGGAGTAAAACTAAAATGATAATAAATATAACTGCCCTTTTAGATAAATATATTCGCTCTGTTTCTTGATTCAACAAATGTTATTGAGTGATCATTTAAGTAGTTCAAAACTCCTTTTTTTATAAAAAATAAATAAATCGTTTTCGTATTTTCACCTAATATGATTGATTGCTTTATCATATAAGAAATCTTTCATCGACCAAGAGTTATTAGATTCTATTCCTAAGAGCTGCAATTTTTGAAAAAAAAACAAAAAAAACGCGAACTCAAAACCCAATTAATCGGATCGTCTAAAATTTTCGGCACTGGTTAATATTTTAAAAAACAGAATAACCGAATTTCAAATCGTGGGCCGTGGGTCAAATTTATAAATATTTATGTATTGTCCTGAATCCCGGATTTGTTTCCGGACTTTCGTGCCGCATGGCGTAGAGCATAGCGTTATTTAAATTATTTTTATTTAATTTTGTATATTTATACCAATGTTTTTAAAATCAAATTAGTCCGAGAATTAATAAAGGTATTAGTTTATAATGTATTGGTTTAATTTTAATTAAATTAGTAATAATTGGATATATTATATTATCAAATATTTTAAGCAATAAATGAACATAAAATCATAAAATATATAATTGTATAAAATTTAAATTAATATAAAAATACTATATTTTATGTCTTGTAAAATTAAAAAAATTTAAGTAAATACAAATTAAGTAAATATTATCACAAATAGATGCATATAAACTTTAATACATTTTAAGATGATATATATATATATAGATCCTACCTCATATATATATATATATATATATATATATATATATATATATATATATATAAAAGTTATATACTCTCAATCTTAACTATTGCTATTGATTTCACAGTAATTCTAAGTAATTCTAATTTATTAATTATGTGTATCATTGGATACAAGTTGATTAATGATTATAATTGAGGATAAAATTTCTTATTTTTATATAAGTGTAAGAATAACATATATATATATATATATATATATATATATATATATATAGAAAAAAAGTATTTCTTCAGTCACCAGAGATAAGGTTATCTCCAGTAAGCTCAAAACGACATCGTTTTGGGATTATAAGATTAAAAAATTATAATGATAAAGACTAATATAACACTGCAATATATTATAATTATAAAAATATCTTGATTTCCGTCCAAAACAACGTCGTTTTGAGCTTACTGGAGATAACTTATCTTCGTTGAGGGAAAAAATCTTTTACCCATATATATATTAAGACTGACCTTACACATTTCAAGCAAAATTAATATAGTGATAAAAGTCATTGGTAACACATCAGAAGCTAATATTCAATACCTAACAAAAGGATATTTTTAATTTTAGTAAAATAAAACTTGAACCACTCATCAATTACCAGTCAGTCTCATCTGTTTTCTTAACTATGATTGGTACAAGAACTTAGATGGAAATGACCTAATATTTTTAATTGGCTGTAAGAATTTGCCTAATTAATGATGACCTAATTTTTTGGGTAAGTGTATTTGCTATATTTGATACTGCTCTGCTCTCTCTCCCACTCTTCCCTTGCATCCCCATCATCCAGAGGTTGTAATTAAATCCGCATGTTATTGGCGCATCTTTGTGATGGCAATCTTATTACTTTTGGAGAGTCACATGATATCTCAGACAACAAAATCACCCATCAAGATTCACGAAAGCGACTCTATTTTATTTTTCCCTCGTCAACTACTATTAGAGTGCCTCCATATTCATGCTCCTTGACAATTAATTTTAAAAAAATTAAAAGAAAAAATTATGAAAAGGTAGGAAATGTTGTATTTGCAAGGCATGTACAATCGAATTGTGTGCTCAAAATGACAAGGACGGTGTTGAGATATATAGTCCCACATTGGTTGTATGTGCAACTAATGTGGAGTTTATAAGGCCTTGGACACTCCCACCCCTTGAGCTAGCTTTTGGGGTGGTGTATCCTAAGGTTATTTACATGGTATCAAAGCCTCGCTGCCCCCCACTTTCTCTCGTGGCATTTCTTAGTACAGGTAGGTTGGGCCTGTTGCATTGTCCACTCTTTAAGTCCAATGGGCTCTTGTGTGAGGGGGGCGTGTTGAGATATTGTCCACTCTTCAAGCCCAATGGGCTCTTGTGTGAGGGGGGTATTGAGATATATAGTCCCACATTGGTTGTATGTGCAACTAATGTGGAGTTTATAAGGCATTGGCACTCCTCGCTGCCCCCCACTTTATCTTATGACGTTTCTTAGCACAGGTAGGCTGGGCTTGTTGCATTGTCCACTCCAATGGGCTCTTGTGTGAGGAAGCGTTCTCACATTGGTTGTATCATGTATGTGCAACTAATTGTAGGAAATCTTGGATTTATGCGGAAGCGGTTTAGGACCTAGTACATTGGTATGCTTACCGAATCATCCTTGTTTCACAATTACCTCTCGGTGCGCAGGTCTCGTGTAGAATCTTCCCTTGTAGGATTCCTCTTCACGAACAGCTCACCTCAGCGCCGCAGCACGAACAACCTCCTTGAAGCTGGACTGTGGCAGATCTTCCAAACTATCTCTCGAGGAGGAAGGGGAAGTGTGTGGGCACTGATTAGATTCAGAGCTTGCCTCTTTCTCACAAAAAAGACCTTGGAGGCTGATGACTTAAGAGGTACTATTTATATGGGTTCCAAGAAACCCTAGCTCATTGGGCTCTAGGTTCCTTGGGCTCTTCTCATACTAATAACCCATTTGGGCTTTAGTAAAAGAGCAAACCCAACAATCTCCCACTTGCTCTTTTGGATACAAACTTGAGTCGTAAAACCCAAGATCATGTAACCCATAAGTCATCATCTATCCGAAAAATACCCCATCCCTTGTCTCAAGCTAGCTTGGGGATCTACCATCTGTTATTAATCAAGGCTCCTGATAATCAACGAATGATTATCTAATTCGGTGCTACTCCACTAAAAGCCCGAACTTGAACTCCAAGATTAACAACACTTATAACATGAATATGCATCGCCCCTTTGTAGAATGTCTATAATTGATTGACAAGTTTTCTGTAACTCAATCAATTATTTATTCCCTTGACTATGATAGTTTCTTTAATGGATTACATGCACTGGCCAGTGTCTTTAATATCCAAGTACCGAAACATATCAAGGGGACATATCCTACAAATTCCATGTTGTTTATCTCATAAATACCGATAATCAAATAATCTCACTCCCAAAATACCGAGTTATTGGCCGTCAATAGATCGAACCTCACCCGTTGGTAAATCAAAGAATGAAAACTATTTGATTACCTATTTATAATAAACTCAGGATTAAGAGCAATCACATAACTATAGTTAACTGGAGATTTGATACCTTATGACAGAAAAACAACCTTAATCAAATCTCTCCTTGATCCTTTCAATGTGAATGTTAATTCACACCAATATTTTCCAATGATTCGGACAAAACCATTTCATAAAATATTGCAGCCTAAATAAAGTGCCCAACTTTATTTAACAGCTGTGAATCCATTCATCAATTGTGAGAACCTATGATCATGTCCTCCATGAACGTATCCATATGATCATATACTCCACAATTTGATCCGGACCTTTATGTTTGTAAATAGTGCGCAAAATAAATAAATAAAACCTTATTTATGAAATTCAGAAAATTATTTTATTGTTTCATGGTCTTACTCCAAGAGCACAATGAAACCAATAACTCCCACTTGCTTAATGCAAGTCTGGGATCCTCTTAAGACCCAAAGAAGTAACATGCCTCTCGAACACAAGTTCAGGCAAACTCTTAGTAACTGGGTCTGCAAGATCCACCTCTAATGCTATCTGAGTTTAGTGAAAAACTCATAGCTCGAGGTTGATTTTCTTGAGTCAATACCGACTTGAAATAACTGAATATTTGAAAACTCAGCTTTTCAAGACTCCCACTAGAATATACCAGCATATAATCTCTCGTTCTCCAAAGATACTTGAGTACATGCTTAACAATAATCTAGTATTCCTCTAGGTTCAAAATGGTACTCTCTCACTACTCCCACTGCGTGACAGATGTCTGGTTTAACGCCCAACATGATATGCGTGAGTCTACCTTTGCCAAAGCATAAGATATCTTGCTCATGCATTCATCCTTCTTAGAAGTCTTTGGTCACTCCTTAGGAAGAT